TGTCTGCCACCTGCCCTGTGATTCATGCCAGAAGTTACAGGCTTACCAGGGCCCTGTAGCAGTTGGAAGATGGAAATCAAATAAGTTGCGCAATAACTTGGACGTTTCTCCGGCATTCAGATAAAGTCAGAATTCCAAAGGGCTGTGACCTGTAAAAAGTCCTCTGAGTGGTTAAATGTAAAACAGCTGCACAAAAACCCAAACACTTAATTAGCGTGTCCTCAATGTAGCGTAAAGCGCGGCACAAAAACCCAAACACTTAATTAGCGTGTCCTCAATGTAGCGTAAAGCGCGGCACAAAAACCCAAACACTTAATTAGCATGTCCTCAGTGTAAAGCGCTGCATGCTGTTCTGTCTGTTTTAGCTTCTCTGCAAAGTGCTGTATTTACCATCTGTAAGACTGAAGGTTTCGTTTTGCTGCACGACAAAATATTATTTTCATTAACATTTCCGTGTTCCTCCAATGGTAACATTTTATCCCTTTTCAATGTATTCACAAGATTAACGGATAGCGTGTGCTTTGAAATGCGCCATCCAACTTTGATGTCATATTATATTATTTTTTATTTGAAAACACGAGAGTCAAGAGAATGATTTAGGGGTAACTCCCTACTTGAAATTCTTTTGACACAATGTTATTCAGATGTGTCTTCCATTTAATAGAAATGTGTTTGTGGGGACCTTTAGTTCGTTGGGCTCTATGCTGATGAATTTTACGGAATTCACGAAAAAGTGAATTAAAAATACCTAGGTAACGATCCCTTTGCTTTTTTATACCGTTTGGTACAAATGGCAGAAAATCTATAAGGCAGATTCTCTTCAGCCGTGCTGACATGGGAGTGATCGGCACTGTAATGAACTCAACAAACTCATTCATGGGGAAGCATCTACATTTAACTTCCCAGGATACCGTTCTCCCGACTGAGCTAGTGAATATTAATTGCTTTCCGCCACCCCCTTCCAGGCAAAAATTGGCAGATGCTTCTCCCCAGCCTTAGCTGCCAGATATGCAGATTTCGATTTCCCGAAGGGTCATGCTGATACCACTAAAGAATGTCCTGATTGAGCTACAGTATACTATGCAAGCAGTGCTAATGACTATTCCTTATTTTATTCTCCTCCTCATTCTTCTTATTATTTGCCTTGCTAATATAATTACTGTTGACATCATTATTAAATTGCATAAGACAGTTGACAACCCAGGTTGAGACAATGACCAGACTTCAACTGCACGAACTTGTTCCAAACTAAGACTCATTGTAGAAGCATTAAAAAGTGCAGCAGTTGCAATAAGGAAGTTATGTGTGACAAGCAGTTATCTAAACAGCTTAAGCAGGAGGGGCAGCACGCTGGCATGTGTGAGTGTGCCCAGTGATGGGTTGGCATCCCACCATGTGTCTATAGGCTCCAGACTCCCTGTGACCCTGAATAGCAGTTTCAGAAAATGGGTGGATTAAGCAGGAGCAACAAGTGTGTTGTCAGTAAGCTGTAACAATGCTGTAAAGTAGATTGACAGGGTCAATTTTCTGTGAACCACAGACACGCATTGATGCTGTTACACTAATAAGGCACAATGAGCACAGGAACAGATGGAGCAGCTGAAAATCCTGAAGAAACGAACCTTTGGAGTGAGCTGAGTTAATCTGTGACCCGTATGATGACCTCAAGAAAATGGCTCACAGGACTATTGATCACCTGCAGTGACTCTGACTTTCATATTGACTGTGAGGGCGCAGTGGGAGCAAGTAAACTAATTCAACTGCCAGGATGCCGAAGGAAAAAAAAAATCAACAAATGCGTAACTTAATTTAGGAACAGTCAGGAGGCAATTAAATTGTAAATAATAATGCGGTCAACGTGGAAGCCCTGGACAGGCAGTCCAGCTGCAGGAGGGATAGGAATGTCACCTTGTTTTATCTGTTTTCCTCCTGATTAAGTTGAGACCCAGAAAATTGGACGTTCTGCCAAGCTGAAGTGGCCCTTCTTGTACCCCTCACCGGGCTGTTGATTAAGGTCAAAGGGCATGTTAGATTATTAGGTTATTTGTTCACTAATCAGCCTCAACAGCACCAGCTGCATTGCCGTCGCCCCCTTTTTCAGCTGGACGTGTACAGTATATCCTGAGTACACGTCCTTCCAGGCCGCTAGATTTCATCCTGTGCCTTTTCATTCACTCAGTCCCCTGCAAGCTCATGAGAAATGATGCATTCTAATGGTCGCTGTGAAACAGAAAGCAACTCCCACTCAAGCCAAAAAATCGGATTTTGTCATTTTGTTCATTTGACTTCCTCTGCCGGCCCCTGCAATTGAATGGAACTGAAAAACAACTGGTTTGTTACTTCTCAATGCATGTACCTGTTCTGTTCCATATCAATCTCAAATGCTCAGATTTAAAACAATACCTTTAAAACGTTTTATGTTGGCCTCAAGAGAAAAGAAACTCAGAAATTAAAGCATGCCTTTGACCTCATCTGCTTTTCATCAGTTTCATTTGTGAAACATTAAGTTATTATAAAAGGCAGTACATGTGATTTTCCACAGATTTTAAAGTGGTACTTGACATCACGATATATTTTTCAAAGAGTTGCAGGTATGGTACAGGTTTTATTTTAGTCTTAGGATGAAAATTGTCATGTGTGCCCATACATGTCATCCAGGACAGTTCTTATAGATAGGAATGACACAATCTGGATTATTTCGTGAGCCTCTTTTTCATTTGCAAACATAAGACACATTCCAGGCTGAGACTCATCTAAGTCCTGCTCAGATTCCTTCCAGCTTGACATTTTCATTTCATTATGTCAAGCACAGAGTGTATAGCCAGTGAAAACAGGATTTGGAACTGAACTATGAATGAACACAGACTTATTATTTATTAACATATGAATAATATCGACAATGGTAAATAACAATAACAACAACAACAATAATAATAATAATGCTTATTCAGCCTTCTATTAACCTAAGAATACTTTGCAATTTGTCAGAAGTCCAGCAATTTCTTAATTCCACCCCCAGCTATAACACATTCATTGGTAAATTACCAAAACAAAATTTTTTTACGTGCACTTTATTCTTACAAAAAAAATCCTATGATGCCACTTTTGTTCTACTTTATGTTAGTAGTCAAGGGTGACACACACCAGAAATTTTCAGTATTTTGTTATTAATATACTGTATTATTACCTGAAATTTTGGAACAAGTCAAAGCAACAAAATATGAAAATAAATGCACAGATATGGATAACCATTTTATGAATCTCAGCTGTTTTAACCAGTACAACTGCTTTTTCACTGAAGACTTAATACGCTACAAACAAGCTACAAATGACTGTTTGATCAGTTGCCAATAATCTTTGGTCAATTTTAAATAGACTGTAAGCATCAGGAGAACTTACTTCTACCAGTCTGCTAGGGTAATTGAAAGAGTAGAAGGGTAGCTCTCACATGACACAGCCATGCCTAAGGCTCTCCACGAAGATGAAATATAATTGGGCACAATTCTGGAATTGTGGTTAGAAAGCTAGATTGTAGTCCATAGCGACAGAGGGACCTATTTTCCACCAGTGCAAAGGGGAACGCAAAGTAGTTTTGTTAGTTTCGTACCAGTACATTGCTCATTTTCACGTTGTCAAAATAGCAAACGATTTGGCGCCCGCTTTCCACTCGTAGGAGTGGTGTTTTTGAAATGAGGCGTGGTCGGGAGTATTGTCATTTTAATGATGAAATGAGTGCGCTTTTGACCAACAAAAACCATGGGTTTGAATAATTGAGAGAGTTAGGTCAACCTTGGCCTAACTGGCACAAAGTCTGTTTTTTAAAGTTTGTTTTCTATAAATGTTAGTCTGTGCTTTACGCCCTGAAACTTAATCCTGTTTCCTAAGAGTCCTGGCCTTGTTTTGCTTTGTTTTTCATGAAAAGAACCTGTATGTTCCTGTGTTTTGATCATGAACAACTATAAACATATCTGTCTCTCTCATGTTTCCCTAGTAATTACATAGACATACAAACATATAAAGAGAAAGGAGGGGAAAGGGGAAGGCATGATGATGTCATATGTTCATTTACAGTGACAATTTACAGTTCAGCTGCTTTGTGTTTTTAGAACAAACAGTGCATTGTGAATTTTCACTGGGTATAACCAGTTTCTACTGTAAGACTTAGTTTATATAATTTTCACCTCCATTTACCACAGAACACATAAATTTGAAAAATTCTAAACATTTTGATTGACACTGGCAGACATACATACAATGTTACAGTGTTGTCTGGTATGGAATAGCCAATCACCCAGAAATGGCCTATTAGACAATAGCATGACCAACAGATTTCTCTACAATTTGTTGCAAATTTAAATACATTCATAGATTTATAGCTTTATTCTCACAGGCATAATTTAACATTAGGTCAGACTTAGATGAATTCACTTTCTTTGTTGCAGTAACATAAATAATCAGAGATATGGGAAAATTATGTTGACAGTTGCATCCAACATAGGCTTGGTATAGAGTAATCCTATATAGAATGTCGTCTACTCACATTGTTTGCTAAAGACTGTGTCTGATCTTTGTTTTTTCTGTATTGCATGCCACTGTGGTCTGTGTGACCAAAACTGCATCTGGCACAATTTCTGGCAGCTGAGTTCTCAACTTTTTCAGGATCCACAACCAGCAACGGCAGAATACAAACAGAATGTGCTCAGTCACAAATGCATCAAGTATAGATATTTTTGAATAAAATGTTTTAGAGAATGATCTTGGTGTTTAAGTTGTTTATCCTTCGTTAAATTGGTAAGTCATCATAGAAGTGAAAAACTATAAAGCCCTGTATAGGCTATCAGGAATGCTTGCCTACCTGCGAAGGGAGAGAGGGAGACAGTAGCAATGCATGTGTGCAGGTACAGGGATGCACACACGTGTGTGTGCAGGTACAGGGATGCACACACGTGTGTGCAGGTACAGGGATGCACACACGTGTGTGCAGGCACAGGGATGTGTGTGTCTGTGTGTACAGGGACGGCAATGCGCACGCGTGTGAGAGGACTCCTACCTGCAGCAAGCACATGCTGTAAATACTTTGTGATGTCAACACAGTTTGATGAGTACAGACATCACAGTATCCAGCCCTATTTAGGGACGCTACTTATCCAAGTTTTATTGTTTTCTGCTTAAAAGTGTGGGGGGGTGCATCCGGGACCCCATATAACTGAGGGGGGGGGGGGGTGCTGTCCTCATCCCCCCCATCATCTGCACCCATGGCATGTACTGGTAGATTATTGGTGCCCCCTCATTTAGAGTGTTAACAAATCTTCTGTTCAGAGCATGGAGGTCACAGCTGTCTTGGATGGAACATGGTAATCCTCCATCCCACACTGCTCCTATTCCAATGACAGTGACTGTAATAGTTTAAAAAAAATATTGTAATAACAAGATCAACAACATGTAATAACAACAGTCATGTCACAAGATCAAAGATTGTTAAAATTTGTTTAATTATTTTATTTCTACTGCTAAATTATGAAGAGAATCACATGTAAGTTCTAATGAGTTCTGAGCAAGGCCCTTGGTTTGCTTGAAGAAGGTGAGTCATGCTTTGAGGTAAACAGAATCTCGCTGATATGCCGGCGTGGAGGAGAGGGGTGAAAATTTCATGTTGTTACGTGCAAGAGGACTGTGCAGTTCAAGGGAAGCCGGACAGATGAGTGCTGTGCTTAGCAGCCCAGCTACCGCATCCACACAAAGTACGACAATTTCTCACCATTACGACTCATTCAGCTTTTCTGGCTTTGCGTTCTTGCCTTGGGAGAATTAGTACTGGGAGTAGAGGAGGACACAGTCTGGCTTGATAATATTCCCCAGCTCTGGATGTCCTTCATAAACGAGAGTGTAAAAGCATTAAAAGCGATTAGAGTGGAACAAGGCCTGCTACTCATAGCACTTATGTCCTGCTGCCAAATCCAACAGCAATACGCTTATCGCAATATGCAAGCGTCTCAATGCACATTGGCGTACATGCGGGGTATTAACAGTTGCTGGATTTTGTATTGTTTTAACAGGGTTGGAAAAGTGTTTGACAGATGTAACGTGGAGCAGGATAAGGGACCTGACATCACAGTCAAGACAGGAAAGAGTGAAGAAAAAAGAAAGAGCAGACGGATGTGGACACGTGGCATGTCATCATTGCGGGCATGCTTGGACCAGCACCAAGTGCAGCATCCATCGTCTTTGGATGTACAATCACCAACTCTTAAAGGACTGCACACCTGCAATACTTAAATTCTGATGCGGCTCCTGTCACACAGTAACTATGGTAACATATTTCTTGACATTCTGCCATGTTCACCTCTGAGTGACTTCTGCTTTCACCGTTGCCATTGTTCCCTGACATTCTGGAGCAAATACAAGAAGAAAAGTATCATCACCTCACTTGATTTTCCACACTCTGCTGCACTTTGAGACATCAGACTCAATCCCCCCTGTAATTGACCAGTTTCTATGGAACTAAGGCCTTGCCTAATGTAATTTTATTGAATTCACATTGCGATCATTGTCATGTGATCAATATTTATCTGTTTTGCTCCTTAATTTCAATAGTTCAAAATGCAATTCAAGCATTTTGTATAGAATAAATATGACCCAATAGCACGCATGATATCATGTTTAAAATTTACGTGCTGACTTAATTTTCAGAGTCAATAAATTTGTTAATGCCTTTACTTAGCCTCACGTAGACAAGCCAATCAGAATCGTAATTGCATTGGTATTGGAGGTTACCACTCGCCATGAGAGATGTCAGACACATTTATGTTGGGCTTCATCCTTGGCACTGATGATCAGCCCAGTCATCTAGATATTCAGTACAGAGGCAGACAGCTGGCAGATTGAGGGCAGGTGACACAGACCCACCAATCAGTCATCAGTTAACCAGCAGAACTCGTATCAAAACAGTGACTATGGGCTGCTCATTATTCAAAGGGGGCAACTCAATGCCATTTTGGTTGATGTATATGTGGGCACAATGCAAAAGAGCATCTGAGTTTGTCCATGTAACAGGGAGGGTGTGTCCATCAACCCATTCAAGGAACTGAGGGTCAGCTAATGTGTTTTTAAAAAGGAGAAAAACAGACATACAGTATGGTGCCTTCAAGCTCTGAGCATGTGGGGGTCACACCTGAGACTCATTTTTTTTTTAATCTGGTCAGAATCTAAGTTTCACTGCTGCTTTGTTGATCACCATTATCATCAGTGCGGTTTTCATTGTTTTGTTTTTTTTTGCTGTTGATGTTACAAGAATATTCCTTTGAGTAGCATGTTTGTACAGCCATATATATAGCTGGTTTTTAGCCAGCAAGCAACGCTACCAATCATATAAATTAAGCAAGAAAAACATGGACGGCAGATGCTGTGGCCCTTCCATGAGCTTATATGGCGTGTCGCTGAGGACACTCCGTGTAGGAGTTCCTCTGGAATGGGCCACAGCCGGCGGATATCACAATGCACATCTTTGACCAAATGGTCAGTGCCAAATATAAACCTTGCATAGACAGACACTTAATTTATTTCTTATTTGGAGCTTTGCACTCAAACTCAAGGAGGACTTGATGTCTACAAGTGAACTTGCTGGACTCTCTATGAATAAAACAGCCCTGCCCAGTCAAAGGTTCAGTGTATTAACATATTTCTTATAAATACAGATGCATGTATAGTAGCTCTGTCTCTAATTTAAAAGTATGGCATTTTAGATGAGCGCAAGGATTTGGCAGACAGATGAAAGGGCTATGAGACCGAGGCCAGGCAAGAAGATGTAAATATGTGCTTATTGCTTTTTTGGTGGAATGACTTTCCTTATTGCTTCTTGTCTTTATTTGCTAACAAAAATTTGAATTTGGCAGACTGTGCTTTTGATCGCATATTAATGTTTACCTGTGCAAATTCTGCTTCACTCTTTGATTTCATATCTCATTTCAATGAATCTCTGAAGATGTGTAGTGTTGGTGTGCAAGTACATATTAAACATCCTGGTTAGCATGACTGTATCTGTGCATGTGTCACTGGTGTTGGAAAAGCAGGCAGTGACACGGGCAGCTTAATGAAGACAGTTAACGTACGGGGAAATGATTGAATACGATTTTCTCAAGTCCACTAAATGAGAGGGTCATCATAGTTGTAATTTTCTACCTTGTTATTTTCACAAAAAATGCTTTCAACAGCGAATAATACATACAGTGTGTCAGATTACCAATGCCCCAATTCATCAAAGGATCTGGAAATCTGAATAATCAATAATCAAGATGGATTACCTCAGTTAGGTAAGCTAAGCTAGGGGCTAGTATTCCAGTGCGTCATGGAAGGCTGCGGGTTTAATGTTAATGAATGGTAATGCGGAACAATAAAGCTACATTCACCAATAATAATCATTTGCTCTAAAACACAGCAATAAAAATGTAAGACAACACTCACACATAATTAATATTACAAATATGTAGTGGTGAGCAGGATGCCACTAATCCACAAGCTGCTAATTAGCAAAGCTAAGCTGGTAACACTATACTTAAGGACATTCCTTTAGTAATTTATAAAGACATTCATAATGCATTAAAATGCATTCAAGAAAGAATTATATAAATGGCTATAAATATTTATAAAAAGGCATAACACATTATAACTAGGGCTGTCAATAGATTAAAATATTTAATCGTGATTAATTGCACAATTGTCCATAGTTAATCACAAATAAATCGTAAATTTATTCAACATTTACCATTAATGGATTTTTTCAGGTGTTAATATTCTTATCAATATTAGAGTTGGCTTTATGCAAACATATGCATTTGTTATTGGAAATCAATTACCAACAATAAACAACAACAAAGATTGTCCAAAGATCATCAGAAACTCTTCATCACTTAAGAAAAACTCAAGCCCAACAACAGATCGGCACATTGACCTGCTAAATATTACATATTACTTAGTCACATAACTATGTATAGATCACAGGTCGGGAACCTTTTTAAAACAAAAAGTCATTTTATCCTACATGTCTGACCCAAGATTTACAAAGAGCCCCAATAGACAGAGAAGAGGGTTTGAGATATGATTTTAATGCAATATCGGTATATATGCATTTCACACAAAAACAAAACTTCAAGTACATAAAAAAATAAAGAAAAATAAATTTTGGGGGGGGGGGGTTCTCAGTTTTAAATCACTCGGACGCGTAACAGCGCAAAGGTGACTAATATCACAATATTGTTCAGTTCTGCAGCGATAGCCTTCACCCTCGATTGTAACAGTACTGGCCAAATGGGGTTATGAAGGTTATGAGGAGAGAGGGCTTTTTGGATGACGGGATCTGCCAGAATCCAGCACTGGCATCAAGTTTCGAGAAACCTTTGGCTCCAGCAAGCTGTCCTAACGTGTGTTCGACAGAAGGCACCATGCTGTGGGGTCCCTCCACCGATTAATTCACCCCTTGCTGCTCCATTCGATTCAGCTCTTATTTTACCTTCAGCATGAAGGGGAGTGATATCCGGCATGGCACAGAGAGGGAGAAAGGCTTTGCCCCAGGCTTTAGTACAATATTGTACCGCAGTGACGTCAGCTCCACTGTCAATTTTGAACACTGCTTTGTGGTTGTCCACTTCTACTTCTGCCATCCATAGTCTGACTCCTGTTTTCCCTAACACGGAGCCTAAAAATGTGATGTCCACATCGCTCTTCTCAGTTACCGCTGCTACATTCACTTCCATACTCGCTTTGGTTTTGCAGACTCTAGCGTAATGCCCCTTCTGTTTACAGTGATTACAGCCAGCCTCTCTTGCTGGACACTGCTGAGGATAATGCCATCGTCTGTCTCCACATCTTGTACATTGTGTACAGTCCTTTGAAAAGTCTGTTTGCTTTGCTGCCTGTGTTTCTTCGTGTTGAAGCCGCTACGCTGTTGCGTACGTTTGCCATCTACCTGATTATTACAAGCTTCTGCTTTTGTCTTAAGCATTTCGAGTTGCTTTTTTTACGCTTTCACTCTGCTGTGCTTTGCTAATGGCTTTCTCTAACGTCAGTTCAGCATCCATTTGCAGCTGTTCTGATAGGCGCTTATCCCTTAGACCCACGACAAGTCGATCTCTCACCATTTCGTCATGCGGAGCACCATATCCGCAATGCTCTGCGAGGCAATGTAGCACGGTGTGAAAGCTGTCGACCAACTCGCCGACTTCTTGTGCTCTTATCCCTCTCGTATATGATACCTCTGCGAGCAACAAAATGAGCATCCAGTTTTTAACTGCATAATCACCCGTTTCCTCCTCAGTTAGGTGCTGTTTGCCACTTTGATAAAACCTGTTGAGCCAAATACTTGTCAATTACTTGTTGTTGTCAATGCATATATGGGTCAAATGTATTCAATGAAGATCATAGCACATGCTAGTCTGGAACAAAATGATCTTCACTGGGTTAGCCCTTCCAAGAACCACAAATGTAGGACTTAGAAAAAAAATAGAAATGACCTTGCTATCAGTTCTAGAATGCATATGTTCACCAGTATTATCCTTTACTAATGGTTCCCTACCAATGTTTTTTTTCCTACACAACACAAGCAGACTCAAACTCTCCAGCATAGCTCTGAGTCATAATGTAACTGAAACTGAAGAATGTTAAAATGAACTAAACCAAATAAATATTAAAAATAGAAAGAAAATATCAGTGCAACTATTGCCTAAACTTAAAACAGCAATGTGGCAAATGATATTTCAGTAAAAAAAAAAAAAAACATCAAGTTATCTCATAGGTATATTTTATAATTGCAATTATATACTAATTGCGCTGAATAATACAAGGGTGGACCAGCTAAAGGTCAACTTCCATTGTATTTATTTTATTGGCTGGTGACAGGGTTTATTTTTCAACTGAATAAAATATGGAAAGTTTTGCACAAAATGAAGTGTAACTTTAAAATCTGTGCAACCAGCACTAGTCTATATTCAAACCCTAACCCTGGAACAGTAGAGTCAGGCAGTGCCTCAAGTGAAATCAACCTGGTTTCATTTTGTGTCCATAAAAGGTCACATAATTGACAAAAAGAAAATCCAGTGCAGCAGTCCAGGGTGAATAAGCGTAGTTAAAATGATCAGAACAGCACTAAATTTACTATATATGCAATAAAAAAGTAAAGAAAAAAAGGTAGAATACTAACTAAATCCAATTACTGTAATTTGAAGTTTAAGTAACTTTTCTCAGAAGTGCACAGAGATCCACACTCATTCAAAGCTGTCAGTAGCCCAGTTGGATTCCATTGTTCGGCCAGTGGGTGGTTCCTTACAATAGTATAATTCACCTTTTAAAAAGTGAACTAAATATAGGCTCAGTTCAGTTATAGCAGCCAGCCACAATAGATGTAATAGATAGTACATCCAAATAGTTCAAAGAAATACATAAACCATAATAAAAGAAACTCAGATGTAAACTGCACCAAGAGAATTAGCAAACAACAACACAGAAGATTTATGGGGAAAAAAGAAAAAAAAAAACACTGGAAAACAGGATAGAAAATCATCTATAATAGAATTGAAGTGGTGCTAAAAATGAATATGCCCTAATTAACTAGAGGGAGATTTTTTCACCAAGGTAAACTTAGCTCTCTACTTACCGAGCTTTTACAAAAGCACTGTGGCTTTCCACTTCCAGGGATGAGGGCTATCTTCCTGTCCAGGCTGTCATTGGAAAGACTTTGCGTGGGCTTCCTCCAGGTAATCTGGTTTTCTCTCAGTCCAAAAGAGTAAAACAGTTTGTGCTCTGTCCATCCTGGGATAGATTCAGTGCAAACCTGTATTAGTTAAGCAGTTGTGACAAATGGATTTTATAACATACAGTATCTATTCGCCCAGACAACCAGCACTTACAGCACAAACCGAAACTATACTTATTCAGTTTCAGGGCACAATAATGCCACATGGGACACGCTGTTCATATCTGTGCCCTTGGCTCACCTTTCTTGTTGGCAAACATCCGGTAAGAAAAGGACTCATCAAAGCTATTGACCCAGTTTCATAGCTCATTCAAGCATTTTAAAGTGAACTGTCAGCCCATAAAGTGGATTCACTTTACACTGCTGGCATGAGCCAGCTTGTGTGAGCTGACTTGGCTCGAGATTTCATTCCAAATTTAACTCCTCGTGCTCTTGGCGGCATCTCCAGCCCTCTCCCCATTTAAAATGTGTACAGTAACACTGGTGGAGAGGCCTAAAGGCAATCCAGTGCAGTCTAGTCAGCTTATTGACAGGGGCATAACAATTATTCTGTTTCACTAATCTGCTGCCATCAAGCAAGCAACATTTTAATGGTGGGTAGAGGTGTTAATGAATACTCCAACCTGCAGTTAATTTCTGTCTCTCAAATACTGAAATACTTTCAGGTACCACAATAAGACTACCTTTATAATGGGCTTATGAATGGTTTATAATCAGGTTATTAATTTGGCTGTAATACTTTAAAATTATTATTATTACTTATTAAATTATTAATAGACAATCACAAGTCATAACAGTTTTTATTATTATTATTATTATTATTATTATTATTATTAGTGAGTTACTGCCATTTATAAGTCATAAAACAGAGCCTAGTTGTAAAGTGAAACCAAACTTTCTTATGTGCTTGTTTTAATTCTAACTTGGTTGAAGCTGTCTAATTACAGATTACCTAAACTTAGTTTACCATTATTCACAGCCTAATATTTTGTAAATCAATCCTTATTGACAAAACTGGTCCATCTTTCCGAATGAATGACACATTTATTTGTGCAATTGATCTATTGACAGGAGCAGCTGAAGGTTTGTTACATACTTGCTACTGAATGAGGACCTAAATGCTGTGATTTAGATTTAGATTGGAAAGACAGTGATGTCTCAGCCTTTGCGTGCATCACCTTCACATTTAGTACAATGGGAAGAGCCATTATGATGAATGACAGATGCACATGCATTACACAGCATGTGAATTATTTCTCATGTGAATTATTCTCTGCAACAGCGGCGAAAACCAATCTGAATCGATAAGCTATTAACAAGCTATTATCGAGCTAAAAAGGTTCTGATTCAAAAGTTAGCCACAATCATAAAGAAAACAATATGAAACAATTCTTTCAGTCCTTTTACAACAGTTTCGGTTGTGAATTTAAGTTTGAACTAGGTTAACACGTCTCCATCGATCTTTCAACATTTTTCTCTTGATCTTTAAAGTGTGACTCACTACTTCTATTACCTGTGATGTACTGACTGCCTAGACTTACCTCTCCTTACAATCAAAGGCACCCAACCACATCTATGCATGTTATGATTTTCAGAAATATCGTCTGCAAAGGTTTAGTTGATATCATGTAGGGATATGTTTTTAAAGATAGACAACAGCCATTTCTCTTTATCTGTTACATGAGACAGTATGTATACATACTGTAGATCATACCTAGACATACCTAGATCTAGATACCTAGATCCCATCCGTCCAAAGCCACTTTCTATACCTACCTACTGTAGATCAGCAAATCAGGTAACTGAATTTCTGTTGTAAGGCAATTCCATGATTACGAATATGACATTTAGGAAAAAAAATACCTCACGTATAAGCTTGCTAACAATGAGTCAAATTGCATATGTTTTATGTAAGCTCTGGACTTGAATATGGACAAATCCTTAAAATTCACATATTAACTAAATGTTATAAATACATTGCATTTTATTAGTTTTTGGATGTGACATCAAATGGAGATTTGCATGGGATAGCCCTGCAATACTTTTCAGTGGAGCCATGCAAAACAATGAATTACAGGGAAAATACCGCAAAGGCACTCTGCTACCATCCCTCACATGTCGGCCCGTGAAGGATGCCTCTGGGAGCTGGTGCGTCCATGCAGCCACTCAGCACTGTAAACAGGGAGAGACACAAATCATCTTGGATTTTCAGAAATCAGACAGGGCAACGTGAGACCTTGGCACGGACTCAGGGATCAGTCATGTGCTGACGGAGGTCCAGAGCAGTCCAGCTGAAACGGGGGCCTGATTAATCGGCCCGGGGTTGTGCTAGGAAGACACACATACTGTACATGAAACATCCAGTCTGGGCCCTGCTAGAACCTCAGGTTTCTGGTCCTCCGCCGAGGAGAGAGCAGACAATGGCTGTGCTTAATGTTCCTCTCCTGCTTTTATCCATCATCACAATGCACACACTTTTGCCACAGAGCAGAGTTGCATGTCTGCAGTATACTATCAGCTGAGGCCAGAAGGAAATCTGCCCCGATCTGTCAGAGCAGTTTAAAAAAAAAAAAAAAAAAAAACAGACATTGGCCTCAACTGGAGACAATGAGACAACTGAGGAAACTCTATCTTCTTTCATCCTCATTTTTCACTGGCTTTTCTGTGAGGCCTGTCAATAATGTAACTCAGTGGGCTAGAGATGTAAGCCTCAATCAGTCTGTAACTTAATTGTCTTAACTAAATTGGAAAGACCCAATGGAAATGAATCAAATTCTAGTCATGTGCAAAACAAATAAAAGTTAAACTACACACACACACACACACACACACACACACACACACATTGACATGCTTGACAGAAAGTCTGGCTTGCATATTTACTGGTTTCATAACTGAAGTCCATTGACAAGCAATGTTTCAATGTTTAACATATCTGCACATTATGTTCCGGACGGACATTTTTCTTTATTAAGTGTCATAATTTTTTTGACTGACTCAGTTCTGTTCTCTCGCTATTCCTTGCAGTTGTCATTGGCTACCAAAGCGATACTAAACACATATTTGGTGTTTTATGTTATTACAAATGTGTTACTAATTAAAAAGCTCCAAATGTGTGCCAAGAAGCTTTAGAACTATATTTTGGGTTTAAATTAGGGGTGTGCAATTTGACGATATTAGATTGTGAAGGATTACAATGTCTCCACGGTCTGCCTTTGCGGAGAGATTGTTTGTATCATGCTGCAGTGCACATTCTGTTAGTTGCAGTTCTACAGCTCATACATGCATCTGAAGTCGTTCTGTGAGCTAAATCCTTTTCAACACACCAATAAACCGATGAGAAATTTGTGTGCAACACATTCACTATTTGGCAACATACTGTAGCACTATGTACAATATGGAGGAGCTGGTACCTGAAAAAGAATTTGACATCAGTAATATGTAACTTGTTTATACGGTGGCACTTTGGAATACGAACTTAATTCCTTCCAGAATGCTGGTAGAGTTGCAGTTGGGTCGAGGTCCAAGTCACATTTCCCCATAAGAAATAATGTACATGAATTTAATCCATTTCAGATGCCCAAAGGATTACCTATTTAAACTTAACTAATGATAAAATGCATTAGCAATCAATATAGAAATACGCAGATGAAAAACATACAAAAGCGATAAACATGAAATAAATGACAACCCCATACTCTGAAGCGAGAGCAGACACACGTGCACCATCTACAGGTCTCACTATAATTTCCTTTTTAAGTTCTACAGTCACTCTCACTAGTTTCTTCTTTGGTTTGCTACTATCCCTCCTCACTTTCTTAGAGCCATGATTATTGTATCACTAAATGTACTGTAGATAAAGCACAAAAAATTCACACCAAACACAGCTGTCGCACGTCGAATTCAGTTGAGAGGTTCTGCAAGTAGGCATAAGCATCCCAGTAGGTCCATTTGCCTTTGTAGACTCGTTTCAATCCGGTTAGTTTAGCAGGTCTGTTTTGTTTTGTCGTGTTCTAAGATTTCAGTCAAGTTGAGGCTGGTACAGTAGAGTTGAATGTGTCTCGACCCATACAAGTTTTACCAGGAGCGGTCAAGCTCTAGGACTTAGGCTTACAAATGAGTCGAAAACAAATTCAACAGACCCGTTCAATGTCCGAGTTGGTCGAGTTAAGAAGCGTCCAAGTTCCAACATTCCACTGTATCGTAGAAAACCAAGTTCTTTGCAAAATTTGCAAATATGAGACTTGCACATTGGACGGCAATACAACAAACCTTTTTAACCACAGCAGAAGAAAACACCCGAAAGAGTATGCTGTTATACTTTCTTTTAGGTTCTGTTGCCTTATAGGGCTGTAGTTTTTTTAAAATAAGGGAATTACAGTAGGTTAGTTGTACTGTTCAGTAACTTGCAAAACAATGTAAAACATCAACATGAAAAAGAATCAGGATATGATCATGGGTCGTGATCCTGTGAGAAAAAAAAAATTATGTGATATTTTTCATGTATTGCCCACCCCCAGTTTAAATTTACTATTACTTGAAATTAATGTTTTACTTAACATTTCTGGTTGTTTCTAAAGCAAAACATATATTTTGTAAATAAATGAAGCAATGATTTTTGTTATAAAAACTAATACTGTACATTCACAATATTTTTACTGAATTAAGCAAGCATTCCAAGACTTTCTGTGAGCACTGTGTGTGCATGTACAGTATGTATGCAAGTATGTATGTATGTAATCGGCTCCGGATGTCAAACACTAGCACAAATGCAGTTATACTTTGTCATATTCTTGAATTACAATTGTAATCATCAGAATTATAGTCATCAACATATCACTGAGTCATCAAGCACTAGGATAGTGAGGGGCAGGGCATGCCACCTGTCTGATCAGAGATCAGAGAAACGCCTCAGATTTCCTCTGCTGCAGGGTTCGCCGCTCTTCCATGATTCAGTGCCTCAGCCCTCAAGTCAGTGTCACATTTGCTGAAATCCATCCAATTCCTGTAGGCCAGGGGAGGCCAGTCTTATCCGTAAAGGCCCAGTGCGTAAGCAGGTTTTTGGGACAACCTTTACATCAGCTCAGGATTGCAGAAGGTGGGGGGGACAAGGGGGATACCCCCCCCCCTTCAGTTTTACAGTAGGCTACCAGTCAAAAGTTTTTGCCTACCTCAGGTTTTTACTAGTTTTCCATTTATTTCATAAACTGCAGATTTTTTATTCTTGCACTGGAAAGTTGATGAACAGCTATAAATGAAAATATAAATGAAATAAAACAAGTGTCCTGTTTAACATGGAAAGAGAATGTAGCAGTGCATGTCTGACATCCTAGTAACTGGTTGTGTTGTAGACTGTCCTTTAACTTTAAATAT